AAAAAATGCCTTCGCGTATTATATCATTCCATCTCAAATNGCCGGGGGAAAGTGAATTTAAGTTTGCGATAAAACTCACAGGGATTGTTCCTTGAACAATTTAAGGAGACACGTATTTTTTCTTTTTGCTCAGAAATGCGAATTTTTCGAATAATGAATTTTTTCTTTTTGAGTACGAACGCTTCTTTTTTCCTCTCTTAATAGCAACTTTTGATGAAATCGTTTATAACTGCCACAAACAAGCAAGGATTTTAACGATTTTTTTTTAAATTGCAGATATTGATCTACTGAATCGATCTAGTGAACTAAACATCAGTAATTGTTTATTAATAATTAATTATTGTTTATAAACAAAAAAATTTTTTTTTTTCAAATTGCCACATTTTTTTTTTCTCTCAAACTTTTTTGTCTATTAGGGAATAGTATAAACTATTTTCAGTACGAGTAGCAATATGCTAAAATTCGTCACTTTCGAGTTATAATTTTTTTTCTGAAAATGCACTTATATGATGCTAGCAGATTTTCGTGCCAGTTGAGGGCACAAAAATTGTTGCCCATTATGAAAAAATTTCCTTGCTGAAAATTCCTTGCTGAAAATTTTTTAAGGCTGCCCGATCAGAGCCAAAAGTTTTTTCCCAATTGGGCTCTAATTTTGGCCCAATTGGGGCCCAATTAGCGATTTGCCCAATCTACCGCGGATTTCCCCAACCAGTGCTCACAATTTGCTCAAAGTGAACATGCATACGCAATTAAAACGTTTTTATCGATAAAATCACACATCAAAAGTCCCTACGAAAAAAAAAATTTTTTAATTTTTTTCTTAAAAAATTTTCCACATACAAATTTTTTGATAAAAACAAATATTTTTAGAAAATATGCCATCTCAAAAAAAATGGAAAAAATCACAATGGTAGCTGTGAGTATTGCGCAATATTTAAGTATAATGTTATGGGTGCATTCTACAATAATTTGAGTTATGAATTTTTTTTTACACCGAAGTTGAGTAAAATGAGTACATTACAATTTAAAAAAAATATTAAAGTTGTGCCCTTTTTTTATAAAAATCATGAAACTTATTATAAAATAAGTGAACGTTGGTCAGCAAATAGTCCATTTTATATTTTTTTAAATTCACACGGCATGAAAAATACAGTTTGCTTATATATTGCTTACGTAGGAATAACAGCATAATGGACATTGTCGCTTGTTGAAGGGTCTTTGAACCATAAACTGTAGTTCATATATAGAGTCGCAATAATATTACACAAATGTGGCAAGCCTGTGCTAAAATTACGAAGAAAAACAATCATCAACCGAGCGTGACTTTACCTTAGTGAAATCTGCAAGCTAGAGTTGAAAACTGTCGCCACTATCGATAGTTTTTGACAACTATCGATGTCGGTATTAGCGAATCTTCTCTTTTTACATCTCTTAACAATACCTTAATTTTGCTTTTATCCAAGAAAATTCACAATACAGTCGGCAAAAAAAAAATTAGTTATTGGAATTTTTAGCAACTATAAGCTTATACTGAGTTATAGTAAAATTTAATAATCTATAAAACCGCTTACACAAAATTTTTATAGAAACTCGAATTAAAAACGCTTGAAATTTTAATGATTTTGTGGTTTTTTATGTTTTGTACAACTTTTATAAAAAATTAGTAAACACTAAACAAACAAATAAATTGTCAAAACTGCTAAAAATGTTGTGGTGCTATTATTTTGACCAGTACTTTATTCGTTTTCTTATAATATGGTAAAATGTTAATAATTTCCTTTGTCCGGATTTTGATATGCGTCTCCGTATAATTTGATCTCAGTTGAACTTTTATAAGTATGAGTTGTCAATTTAAACGTATATCTTTTGTTTTGTTTTGTAGTATTAGAAATGTATTATTATAGCCAATTTCACTTCTTTGCACTTAATACAATTGCCGTTCGGAGTCGCCGTAAAACTGTAGGTCCCTCCTCTATTATTATTATTATACAAATGTGAAAGCATTTAATAAAAATTCAATTATATTTACATTGAAATTATTTCTTGTATATACGAGCTCTCATTGGATATCACCCACAGCATTGCCATATGTCAAGATTTATTTTGAAAACGAAGATTTTTTGGGCTGTTTTTTATGAAAAATCTTCAAAAGAAGATTTTTTAAAAAGCAAAATTTTACACTGAAAATATCTCAAAATGAAAATTTTTGTGTATGATGTAATATTTTTAATGTTTAAGTTAAAATTTTTAACTTATTTATATTATCCTTGCTACATCATTGTAAGCAGCAAATTAAGAAAAATGAAATACGAAATCCCCTACAATATTATCTGCCTTGTTCTCTCGCACAGTAAAACATATACTCTAGTGCAGAGCTAAAGAGTGGAGGAAAAGAACAAACGGCTTTTTGTATCCCCTCTAGTTTAAAGGACAACAATGGAAAATTTCAAGTAAACTGCCATTTAAGAAACATTTGCTGATGGATAAATGTGTAACGAGAAAAAAGGAGGCGGTGAGATTTATAAAACAACGTCCATGAAAAAATATTAATAAGAAATCGAATTAAAAAGCTCAAAATTGTTATGGAACTTTGTCGAATTTTCTTAACTTTTTTACAAAGATTGAAGTTTGGACTTATGGTTTTTGATAGATAACGAGCTATTCTTTCATAAAAAAACAAGTAATTTTTAAACAAAAATCACAAGCGACTTCAATTCTCATATAAAAATTGATCGTAAATTTCTTCATGATCCAATGACCGTATCTAAACCAAATTAGTATGGGACCACCCTTGAGGTACCACCTTTCCGAAAAAAAGGAATTATCGAAATCAGTTCAAGTAGTCCAAAGTTATGAGGTAACATATATACATAAAAAAAATTTTCGCACGAATTGATAAACTCCTCCTTTTTTGAAGTCGGTCAAAACTTGCAAAATGTCGCGTCGCAATTTATATTTTCGCCAGTGTATATATACATATGTTAACTGTGCTATAAGATGTGTGATGATACGAGGCAATATTCATTTTAAGTTTAAGTTGTTATAAAAAGGACTTTATAACTGGAAATTGGTGACTTTTTCAACCAACGTAATAAGGGCTATTTACAGCCGTAAAGACAATATCGAATTTTGTTTCTTTTAGGTATTTTTAAATGAAGATTTTTTGGGATCGAAAAAAATTTTTTCTAGCTTTAAAATCTTACTTTGAAGAGTTTTTTGAAAAAAATTCAGTTTTTAGGGGACCTTCTCTGGCAGCACTGATCACCCATTGAAACTTTGAAAAAGTGCAAAAACAGTTCGCATCTCTGGCAATTTCATGGTTTGTACAAAATATGTGTCCACTCACCACCAGACAAATGGTAGGGGTCAGTGATCGGGAAGGGTTCAAACTACCGGGGAAAGTTATATCGGTAAAAAAGAAGTTACACGTGTCCCGGCGTTTCGCTGGGACAATTCCTTTAATCTGTTCATATAACGTTTTTCCATATAATCACCAGATTTAAAAAAATTTAATATTTTAGGCAAAAAATATTTTTTTTCTTCATACATTTATTTTTACCGGCAAAACTGTTGATTATATAGAATTTTTTCTTGCATTTCGGAAACAAATACTCAAACATATTACAATTTAATTTCCTATGCGCATATAAATGCAAATGTTAATTCTTTAAGTTACAAAACTGCTTAGCACACACTTTACATACAAACATTTCCAAAATGTTTATAGAACTATGAACTTATAAAAATACCACTAACTGCTTTTATAAATATATATTTATTACGCCAATTTTCCACCGAAGAACACCAACAATTAAAAATTTGCTCACACCAAACCGACTGATACGACGTTTTCACACAAATAAACGTTCACTGCTATTTCATGGGAAAAACGATTATAAGTGCGTAAAATCAAACATCATGGGTGTATGGACACCGAAATAATTTAAACATGAATTTACTCCTATTGTGGTCTTAATTTTATACAGTGAATATCGACGTATACTCTGGGTAGCGACCAAACCCCAGTTTGGGAGCGAGCTAAAGTGAGAAGGCGTAGAACTTCGCGTCACGTTAAAACCTTCCAAATGGAAAAGGAAAATATGCCAAAAGACCACGATTTGAGGGTTTGGTTTGCACCTAGAGTATCCGTACTCTTATTGGGTAAGGTACCTCTACCCGGCTGGCTGATGTCCTCGGGAAGACAAAGACTGACAATACTGCCATCCAAGGAATACGAATTACGGTGGAAGGTGAGTTAAGCGTGGAGCCTTGCGACGTCTTCTACAGTTGCCACGTAAAGGAGCGAAAATTCGGGGTTGGATTTGGGTGGAAGAGAGACTCCGTCGCCGAGTACTGGCGTTTACCCTAGTGGTATAGCCACAATCCGCATCAAAGCGAAATTCTTCAACATCTCGCTCATCTGTACTCATGCTCAAGGATCTTTTCTATGAGCGCTTGCTGCGTACATATGAGGGCTGCGATTTTTATATCGTAAAGGAGCGATATAAAAATCCCGATACATGGTATTATGTGGTACTAGGTTCCAGCATTAGAAGATCCATCAAGCTACATAGCTGTTTCCAGATCTAAAAACGAGAAACTAGATCGAACATGTTTTGATAGACGGAAGACGTACACACGTACAACGTACTCCATGAGCCAAACATCATTGTGTACAAATACAAGTGAGATATCTTAGCAATAGACGTCATCCTGGGCCACAGCTGCGATCATCTGTTTTTTATAGTTGCTTATTTTGGTCTAAACTGCTCTTTTTTGACCTGAGTTGCATTAAATAGTCTCTTAAAACTTGGTAGTATTTGTTGTTCAAATGGTAACATATATGCCCAAAAACTTGAAAAGTATTAGATGATTGCTTTTTAAAAATGCTATTTATAAAATTTCGTTTTGATTGCGACATTAGAAATATTCAGATTATAAAAGTTTTTCACATATGTTTTAAGATTTTAAAGCTTTTAAAAAGTACGGTAGAATGCAACAATGTGCTTGAATTTGTTTGCATCTTCGTCAGCTTATTCGTTTGCAGACTAGAAAAATGGCGAACAGCCATCAAAATACTGATTCAAAATGCACATCTTTCACTGGACACACAAATGGGTGCGCGCAGCGAAATTCAGCCCTAATGGTAAGTTAATTTCATCGTGCGGCCAAGAAAAATTAAGAATTTGCGATACATTTTCAGGCGAATGTGTGCGAACGTTCGCCGTGGGAAGAGGTATGGGACGACAGCTGGCATGGCATCCAGACGGTAATCTGGTGGCTTTAGCATTAAGTTATAACCGCGTTAAGATATTTGGCATAGCTGAAGGCGAGCTAATACAGTGCATTCGTCGCCGAAGAATGATGTTGCATTTCACCCAAGTGGAAATTTCTTGGTGACTGGCGGCGATGACGATACAATAAGATTGCTTGATTTATTAGAAGGTCG